AGTTCAAAGGCATCAATTCTTCGGCGCTCAGCCTTCTTTATGGTCCAGCTCTCACAGCCATACATTGCTACTGGAACAAGGGGCTCTACCCAGCCCCTTTTCCAAAACACAAAATGGCAGTGATGAACTCTCCCTGAAGCTCACTGTCTCACAAAACTAAACGTCCTGAAGCAAGTTCCTTGAGATACTCATACCCATAAATGGGGGACTGACCAACTACACGACTTTCCTCTCTGTCTGCGGAGTCCACCATGTCTGCCTGATTTCTCCCCATCTTTGCTGTTGCACGAGGCCAAGCAAATTCTCTGGGAGCAGAAAATCACTGGGAAGTCCCCCAGGCCCGGCCCGCCATCTTACCTTCTCAGGAGCATTGATGACGCCTGTATTGTACCCAAACTGGAGGGATCCGATCACTGCCACAGATACAGTGCAGAGGAGGGGCCACGTTATCTTCTGCTGAAAAGAAATACGGTCCGTTGGCTAATTTGTTCACATTCTCCCCAAAGGCGAACAACCAACACAGCTGTCCATTCACATTCTTTAAGAAGGCAAAGCCCATTTGGGGGCTGCCTTTGAGCCAGTGTTGACTCCTGGCGACTGCCTGGACAGTCCCTGCAGTTTTCTTGGCAAGATTTCAGAAGGAGTTTGCCCTTGCCTCCTTCCTGGGGCTGAGAGGGAGGGACTGGCCCAAGGTCACCCAGCTGGCTCTGTGCCTAAAGCAGGATTAGAACTCACGGCCTCCCAGTTTCTAGCCTGGGGCCTTCACCAGGACACCAAACGGGCTCCCCACACACCACTCCACGCAGATTTTACACTGCATCTTATTCTGAGGCTGGCTCAGAGGCTCAGACCAACTCCACTCTCTGCATCGGTGGATACACAAAAGCTCGGCGGCCGATCCATCTCCTAGGTTGTACGATAACACCCGACGACTAAATCCTAAGACAAAACCACTTACAGAGTCTCCTCCCAAACCTCTTTTCAAGTCACTCCTTCACCACCAGATGTGCTCCCCAAAGCCTTATCCGCCCAAGAGTCGATGTTTCCACAGCAACAAGTAAAATAAAAGGGCAGGTGGGAAATCATTCAGTTACTGTCTACGGTGGATCCGATCATCTCCTGCGCTTCTCGATTGACTCCTGTGCCCCCCAGCCCTTCGGGCCACGTGGAGACCTTCCTCCAAGGCCAAGACATGATGCCATCAGAGGCTGCCCTGGAGGCAAGAGCTCCACATTTCTGGCTACCAGTGAAAAGAAATTCAAATTGGGTTTCTGCAATAGGCAGCTGTCATCTTGCACCCCAAAATTAGGGAGTTCTTGATAGAAACTCCCTCTATTTTTGTTTGCATTTTTACTGGCTAACAAGCCGGGTTTGCTTTTTAATTTTTGTAAAGCTAAAAGATATCAGAAAGCGGCCAGAGATAGTAGTGGTAGAAATCCTGCTGTTGTACACATTTGTGTAAATAGATTGTGGTGGTTGCAGTACAGAGGAGGCTATTTGAAAGGAGAAGCTGCTTGGGAAGGGATTCAGCTGCTTTCTTGCTGAATTCTCCAACAAATTTTCAGTGAAGGCTTCTTAGCACCCCTCTCAGCTGTCACTCTTAAATACCCTTAAATACAGTGAAAGTCACCCAACAGCTCAAGGGCAGGTGCGTATGTGACCCAAGGCTAGTGGTGAAGGGTGCAAAAAATCAGGAGGATTCCGGTAGCTCCTCTCGCCTTGCACAGCCACAAAAATCAGTGTCTGAAGGACTTAACAAAATTGCAATGAAATGGGAAAGTGCAGTTTTGCCATCCGCCCTGCAGACGCAGAACCCAGGCTGGGAGTCAGAGGTGGCCCCCTGGCCGAGCGGAGGCCTGGACTGCTTTGCAGCCCAGCTAGAGCTGCGAGGCGAGGCGGCAGCCCGGGCTTCCAGCTGCCTAACCTCTTTCCACGAAGCGCGCGACTTTTTGTCTCCGGGCTGGAGAGCAGCGGCCGATGCTCCCTTCCCACCCTCCTGCTGCTGCTCTTTCGCGCTGGAAGCCATTTGCTAGCAAAACCCTCGTGCCGAAACCTGCTATCCGCCCCCCCCGACCGAGGGAGGGGACTGTTGCCTGGCAGCGCCCTTTGCAGCATCAGGAAGCACAAGCGGCGGGGGGGGGGGGGACGGTGCCGGCGCGCTATTATTTGCAGAAAAGAAGGAGAAGAGGGGGGGGGGGGGGGG